AGAGAGAGAGAGAGAGAGAGAGAGAGAGAGAGAGAGAGAGAGAGAGAGAGAGAGAGAGAGAGAGAGAGAGAGAGCACTGACAGTGCTGCCAGTCTGAAGACTCTGACGTTCTGAAATTAACTGCAAAGTTCCAACTTTTAGGTTATATGAAATGAACTTAAATTACTAAATTCAAACTTCAAACTTCAAATTTAATCATACTTTTGAGTCTTTTGTAACTTTTCTCTGTTTCTTTAGTCTTGTGCCTGCTTTGCACTGTTTGCAACTCTGCATGTCTGCTAGTTGAATGTGCTTGTTGATTTGCTGCAAGACCGGTGCTCTGCTGCCTGAACCACAAAGTCCGGACTGTCCGGGTCCAGTGATGTCCAGCTGTCCAGATCACCGGACAGTCCAGACTGGTCCAGACGCTAGTCCGGAAGACAGTCCGGAAGTGTCTGCTGTCCGGGTCCGCGGTTACCATGGTTATACCTCTATACAAGCAACATGAAGCAGAATAGATCTGTTATATCCCTTTTTTGACTATCTTGAATTTGGCTTTCTATGGGGTAGCCCTTCTACTTGTTCTTGCAGCTCCCTTTTTACTGTGCCTCCCACATACAAGGCTGGCCACGTTGATTGTGGTTGAGCGCCAGGTGCCCACATTCCCATGTGCCTTTACGGCACACTTGCACGGTGTGAAAGGAGGCAGCGTAAAAAGAGGGGTATACCCCTGTACATTTCTCTTCAGATGTTCAGCTTATATTTTGTCTGTCCTCTTAATGATGCTCATTCATATCATCATATGCATTTATTAGTAGTACTCCAGGGGAGGGAGGAAGGAACGAATGAAGGGGCAGGGGTGGAGTTCTACACAAAGCAAGAGGCAGAAGAGAGAGAGAGAGAGAGAGAAAGAGAGAGAGAGAGAGAGAGAGAGAGAGAGAGAGATGGAGAAGAGGAGTAGAGTGGGAAAGGATAGAACAGAGGAATGGCAGACTTCACAGGGTTCTCAATACTCACCCTTGGAGCAGACTACTCTAGACTGACACGAGAGGTCGGTCAGTGTTTGGGTTGCAGGAGATTCAGAGTTCAGGAGCCGCCGTTGCATATGGTAAGTAGCCACGCTTACAGACCGGACAAGACCGGTTCAGGTGTTGACTGTTGAAGCACCACATCGAATTCTCGCAGTTGCAGTCGCTGCATCGAATGGCACTCGTAGACACATGTCACAGGCTACGTGGCTCCTACATGCTAGGAAGACGGGCACGCCGACCGCAATTGTAGAGGCACTGCCATCGTGTTTGTGTGTGTTGTAAGCTGACTGTTGAAGCACCACATCCAATTCTCGCAGTTGCAGTCACTGCATCAAATGGCACTCGTAGACACATGTCACAGGCTACGTGGCTCCTACATGCTAGGAAGACAGGCACGCCGACCACAATTGTATAGGCACTGCCATCGTGTATGTGTGTGTTGTAAGCTGTTCGTATGTTTGTCTGTGTGCATGCATGCGCATGTGCATGTGTGTGTGTGTGTGTGTGTGTGTGTTGTCATATTCGCTATACACTCAAAAAAAGCATGACTGTACCAGACTGTTTCGTCAGACTCTGTGTGTGTGCATGTTTGTTGTCATGGTCGCCTTACACGACTCCACAAACAAGTAGTGTGATAGTGCCACTCTGATTCCTCAGGCTTTCACCGACTCGTCAGGAGGTTTGAGACCGCACTTTTGAGTGGTATGTATGTGCGCGCGCGTGGGTTGTCATGTTTGCTATACACAACGCCCAAAAAAAAGCACGACTGTGCCAGACTGCTTTGTAGGACTTTCGCCGACAACTGCCTATGCTAATCTTCTCTGTATCTTTCCAATTTTAACAGATGTCCAGAAGGACAAAAACTGCCAACCACCGGCGGGGGTGCTGAGAAGATTATACAGCCCCTAATGGGGTGGTTTATCTAATCCGGCAAGATGCCAGGCGTCACGGAAGCCCAGCTTCCCCCCTTCCAGATCACTTCCGAACATTGTGGGGCTCCACCCAAGCCAATCAAAAGTCAGCCCTACTGTAATCTACAGCACAGAGCATCAATACATCACGAAAACAGCACAAAGGTCCTACGTTGCTGCAACATGATTTTATTTTTATTTTTTTATAACTAAAGCTATACTCTTTTCTCAATTTCACGTGCATCCCCTTAACTGTGAGAGGTGGCTATGCTTGCAAGGGTCCCCTGTACAGGCTTAGAAGTAGTGGTAGCTAGGTAGTGCAACATGATTCCCATAGCATAACCAGTGGTGGACCGTGACTTTTTTCTCTCTTTCACGAGCGGGGGCGCAAACGACATGGCGGAAAACAACGACAGCGGGAAACAAAGCGGACGCAGACGAAAGGGAATGACTCTTTCTCTTTTTTCCACTTTTTTCGCGAAACAAAAGGCCATTTTCAAAAGGGCGGAAAACAGGTAGTAGTTCAACAAAATAAAGATTTTCGGCTAGATAGTAGCGCAACATTACACAAAGGATGATCAACAAGCACCCAAGCATTCATAGGATCCATGCAACGGCACAACCAGGGCCAACCATTGGTCACACGAGCACTTACCAGCACCGGTTGACTCGTCATACTCGATGTAGATATCACTCACCTCCCTCTCATCCATCTGCATTATACCTTCAAACCCTCTCCAAACCCCCTAGAGGACTGTCCTGACCCTATACTATAGTGTACTAAAGGCTAGACAGTCCCTACACATGTCACCTCTACCTCCAACAATGAATGATACGAGTTATAGCAACCATCTCTCGCAGTCAGCTTGTTGTAGCAGATCATACCCATGCTCATCACCCAGTGAAGAAGAAGCCTTCCACAATTCTCCTCTCTCCGTCCTACTCCAACACTCTCTCTCCTTTCATGTCTCCACTGCAAACTTCCTTCTGAGATCATAATGTCGCATCATCTCTCAGACGTGAAGTTAGGGCAAAATAAAACAAACTGAAGAAGACGAAGACAAAGAAGAAGAAGAAGAAGAAGTTAGGGCTGCATCTTACGCACTTACCACTCGAATCCCAACTCATCCCGCCCGCCCTCTAATCCGAGTTTAATGGACCTAATTAACTTAGAATTACGGCTAGATCAGCTTAATCACCTCTAGGCTCCAGCCAACAGGTAAAGAAAAGCTCAGGTACGAATCGTTATGATCTTACTCAAACGACAATGCAAGAGTCTCATTACTCCAGACGATGCAAGATTTCGCCGCTCAAGAAAACGTGGAAAGTGAATGGCAAAGGAAAGAAGACAAGCAAGAATACACAACATTGAACCGATGTAATCTCCTCCTCCTCTTGCCGTCATCATCTTCCCCACATCATATTGTCGTCCTGTTACAAACACGTCAACTGCAATACTAAATGAATGAAAGAACAAGAACCAATGTTCAAAGTTATCCCACTCACTGCCAGCTCTCAAAGAGCTCGTCTTTAGGTCTCGCTCTCACCCCTCCTCTCAACGTTGCGTACATCTAGCTATGGCCAATGAATTGATAACCTGCCCCCTCACATCTCCCTCCTCCATAGCCACAGTGATGAACAAGCGCCAGTGCCACGCATCTTATCCCCCTTCAGTTATTGATTGTGTGGAGGTGGGGAGAAGGCTTTCACCACGGCCTTGCGAAATTTCTACCCAACACGTAAACATTGACAAGCATGCATGAGTTGACTGGCCAAAAAACTGCAAAAGCAAAATTGACAAGGCCATGATCCCACCAATGCAAGGACACACAGAGCACTGAGCTCTCTTCAGCACGAAAGCCCTCTTCTCGCCTCCAACACAACCGGTACAACGACAAAGAAGTGGTAGCCCAGGTACTTCCAACTACACTACTTCGTAGTCTAGCTCATCATCTACTACTCTACAAACTCTCTCCCTCTCTCGCAGAGGACAGCTGGAGACTCTCATCCACGCTGGAGCTCCCAACAACGAAGTAGTAGCCCAGGTACACACAACTACACTACTTCCTAATCGAACTGATCATCTACTACTCAACAAGCTCTCTCACTCTCTCCCAGAGGACCGCTGGAGACTCTGACCGCCCCAGAGCTCCCCGGCCAACCACCAGGTAAATATCCAGTGCTCCCCCTGCTTTCCTCAATCCCATGGACCCCCTCTTCTCCTCACTACCCATCTTCTTCCTCACTACCCATCTTCCTCGGCGCCCCGCCTCAAAAGCTATGGCACACGCTCTGCCTCCCAGCGCACCACTAGCGCTGCTGTCTGGACGTGGAGCCGCTACGCTGCACGCTATTCTGATGCCGCCGCTCCGCTACCAGGTGCCCGCTGCCCAAATGTCACCAAGTGCAGAAAGGTCACTCGCTTCTTTTAAAGCTTACACCCATCTACCTAGTCGTATGTTCACTCATTCAGAACAGAGACAATATAAATTGGCACAAGGACAGGTTGAGTGCCTTCTCCTAGTAAGTAATTGATTGGGTACAAATTGTCGCCAAGGACAGCTCGAGGTTTGCCTTCTACAAGTAAATAGTTGTTTGGGTTTATGATGACAGTGTCGATCAGACATCCCTAGTTCGCTGACCAGCATTGATACGACTGTTTTACAGTTCTAGTATATTTCCAAGTTTTCCCGCAACTCCCTCCGGCCGCCTACGGCATGCTTGGGTGTTCGCCAGGCGAGATAGGTGGCTTGCCCTCCCTAGTTGGTCTTGGTAGGGTCCTGGGTTCTACCGGAGGCCTTCACCCCTGCCAGTCCTCGCTGGGGGTTAGTTCATATTGCCGGGTTGCTCCTGCTTGATAGATATACCTCTGGCTAGCCCCTGCTTGGTAGATGTACCTCTGGCTTACCCATGCTTGTATATATAGCTCTGGCTAGCCCCTGCTTGGTAGATGTAGCCCTGGCTAGGTAGATGCGGGCAGGTAGTGTAAGTGAGAGAAGAATATAGCTTAGTTTTACATATAAAAAAGAAAATTCTTCTGCAGCTATGCACGTCCGTACATAGAGTGCTAATCAGTTTAGGTAGTCAAGTAATTTAGTCGGATCCCTGGCCGTAGAACGGACTGATTGGTATTAGCCGTGAGTACCAATCAAAAAGCAACTGTAATTGCGAAGTCGAAAACATGACAAGCGAAAACTGGCCATTCCTCCGAGCGAGTGAGTTTAAAGTTGGTATCCAGCCTCCTCAGACTTCAACATCTTCATGACCAACCAGTACCAACAGGGGCCTTCAAGATGCAACACTAACCAAGGACGTGGAGATGAAGATTCACCATAGCCAAAGGTTAGTCTCTCTGGTCCGTTCCCCCTCCTTCCTCCTCTTCTACCTCCACTCGCTTCCTCAACCTGCCTGTATAGCGCAGCTTGAGATTCTTCTTACTCTACCTCCATAGCCCAGGCCTACTACCTTCCACTAATACTCCATAGCCATGGAGGTCTTCTTCTCCAACCTCACCTCCTCCTTCAACCCAGAGCTCCACCTAACTCTCCCTCAGGGCGGTGTAGCAGCATGACTGTCGGGTGAATGCCCGACCTAACCATTTCACCAAATGATGCTGTCATGACTCTCAGCCTCAGTACCTCTACCCAGCTTGATACAGGGCCTCGCCGCACTACGCACAAAGTGAAGCGAAATGAAATGAACCACAAAGTCGCAAGGGCTCGCAAACAACCTAACAATTCACAAACTTCGTCTTTACCTTCACTGCTGCAACACACACGCGAAGCGAGGAAACAAACAGGGCAGAATCACAACAGAACAAAAAACAGAAGAGGACAAACAGGGGAAAAAAAAAGAGAACGGCGAAATCTACCATGGAAGTTTGCAGAAGACTCGCGTGGTGAGGCATCTCCCACACATCTTTCAAAAAGCACCCTCAAAATCCGTGCGGGCGCAGGCGGGCAAAGAAGAAACACACGCGACTCAGTTCACTGCTACAATTCTGACAATTCACGAACATGGGTTCGTGCAGAACTGCGTGATGGGAGTGCGACCGTCTGGAAACGACTCGAATTTCAAAAAGCCAACCTTGAAATCCGCGAGTGCGCAGGCGGGCAAAGAAGAAACGCACGTGACTCAGTTCACTGATACAATTCTGACAATTCACAAACATGGGTTCGTGCAGAATCGCATGATGGGAGTGCGACCGTCTGGAAACGACACGAATTTCGAAAAGCAACCTTGAAATCCGTGAGCGCGCAGGCGGGCAAAGAAGAAACGCAAGCGACTCAGCTCACTGATACAATTCTGACAATTCACGAACATGGGTTCGAGCAGAACGGCGCGATGGGAGCGCGACTGTCTGGAAACGACACGAATTTTGAAAACCACCCTCAAAATCCGCAAGGCCGCAGGCAGGCAAAGAAGAAACGCACACGATTCAGTTCACTGATACAATTCTGACAATTCACGAACATGGGTTCGTGCAGAACCGCGTGATGGGAGTGCGACCATCTGGAAACGGCACGAATTTCGAAAAGCACCCTCGAAATCCACGAGGGCGCAGGCGGGCAAAGAAGAAACGCACGCGACTCAGTTCACTGATACAATTCTGGCAATTCACGAACATGGGTTTGTGCAGAATCGCGTGATGGGAGTGCAGCCGTCTGGAAACGGCACGAATTTCGAAAAGCACCCTCGAAATCCGCTAGGGTGCAGGCGGGCAAAGAAGAAATGCACATCACTGATACATCTCTGACAATTCACGAACATGGGTTCGTGCAGAATCACGTGATCGGAGTGCGGCCATCTGGAAACAACACGAACCACCCTTTCAGAGTCGTTCCACGCGTATTGCAGCGAGGCCCATAGTCATGACTCTTGGCCTTCAGTATCTTTACCCACCATCACGCGGCCGTCTGGGGATGACACAAATCGCCCTTTCAGAGTCGTTTCGCGCGTGGTGCGGCGAGGCCCATAGTCATGACTCTCAACCTTCAGTACCTTTACCCACCATCACGCGGCCTTCTGGGAACGACACAAACCACCCTTTCAGAGTCGTTTCACGCGTAGTGCGGCGAGGCCCATAGTCATGACTCTCGGCCTCCAGTACCTTTACCCAGCACTGTCAGCCTCTACCGGTGCACTAGGACCTAGCGCAACATAGCAGAAACATCATTGTAGCCTACCTGCAATTCGCCTCCAGGGCCCAACCTCGACTGATATCTACCTACGTTCAGGTCCTGGACCATCATGATCGCCAGGACGGAACCTAGCCTGATATCTACCTACGTTCTGGCCCTGGACCATCATGACCTACTTGGATGGAGGCTACCGCACCTTCCACGACCTACCCGAGTTGCTGTGGAGTGCTAACAGGTCCCTATGAAATTATACTTTCTCCCTTGTTCGCCGTAGACTTTCCTCCAGTCCCCTCCAGTGCCCAATTTCCGTCCAACCCCTGTCGCTATATCTATTTACTGTTCTTCCCCTCCCCGTACACACAAAACACAGTACGAGAACAGAGTTAGCTCACTGACACAGCAAGCATCACATGGACTCTTGGACACAGGCAAAAAATTACAGCAAAACAACTCAGATTCGGGAAAAAAGATCTCAGCAAATCAGACCAAAGAGACAGCATTACTCAGAAAACTGCAGGAATTCGCCGACTGCAACTGTGTGGGTCATTGCACCTGTCCTCTTTACTTTTTCCTTTTTAGTGTTTTTGTTTTCTTTCGTCTTTTTCTTTTCTGCCACTGCTACTTTGACCCTGCTGCTGCTGCAAAATGCCTAGAGTTGATTGCCACCCCCCACACCTTTCTTCTTTCGCCTCCTTGCTTCGCCAAATACAGCAAATACAATTCCCAGAAAGGCTAGCTAGTAGAGTAGCACAACCTATCTCAGACCAACCTACTCCCCCCCCCCACCACCACCATTGCCCAGTCTTCAACACCATATTCCGTCCCACGTCACCTCACACTTCCCACATCCTCCCTATGTGCCAGTGGCAGCTCCAGCCTCACAAGGAAGAACGACTTTCCAGCCTCCTTGATGTACTCCACAGTTCCCTGCATCAGTTTCACTATCTTTCGGCACATGCTCAATCCCAATCCCTCCTGCGACTTCGTCACTACATCCACTCTATCGTACATTTGCCTCACCAGATCCTCTGGCAGCCCTGACCCTGTGTGTGTCAATCTGAACTCCAACTCCACCACGTCTACCCCCCCCCCCAGCTTCTTCTTGTTCGGCACTATTTTTATCTCCACCCATCCTGACGTCGGCGTGAACTGCACCGCATTCTGCAAGAAGTCTGCCAAAACCTGTTGCAGCCGCACCTGATCCCCAAACACCACCAGCTCCTTGAACTCTGCCGGCGTATCGCAGAACAGTTGGATCCCCTTCCTTGAGGAGGAGATCATCCCCTGGCTCACTATGGCATTCAACACGGTGGCCATCGCAAACTCCGAGGTCTCGAGTTCGAGGTACCCTTCCTCAATGCTGTCCAAGTCAAAGTCGTTAAGGATTCTGCGCAATTGCTTCTCGCAGATGGCGCTAGTCTCCACCAGTTGTCTTTGATGCTCAGACAGATCTGTGTGCTCGATAAATCCTCTCGTGAACATAATCCCGTCGAGAGGGTTCTTCATTTCCTGCCGCAGGTAGGCGAGCTCCTTGGCCTTGGCTGCAGCAACCTTCTCAGCTGCCCTCTGCACTGTCAATGCGTTCAGCAGCTCCTGACTGGCCATGTGGATAAAGCAGAACACACCGGTAATTGCACCTTCTGCATCCGTTCTCTTGTTCACAGTAAGCAGCACCTCGACGAACTTGTTGTCCCTGGAATAGAATGAAAAAGGGAACTTCTCTGTGTCCTTTCCGTCCATGGCCGAGTTGATGACCAGGGTAAACCTCGTGAACGCATCAAAGCTTCGCATCCTCACTAGCATCCTGTCTATCCCAAACACCTCCCCAACCAACACCTTACCAACCACGTCGTCCTTTCGCCAACCGGACAGCTTTTCCATCTGGGGGTTCCATTCTGTACAGTAGCCCGACTCGTCAGAGCCGAAGATGGGAGGGATGATGGGGTTGGGATTAAGCACGATACTCTTGTAGTCCCCCTGGCAGCGGGTGAATTTGTCGGCAACGATCTTCTGACCGGTGACATCCTGACCAACGAAGCAGACGCCGACCACATTCTCGTTGACGTCGCGGCTGGAACAAGCATTGACCACCAAGATGACATGCCCCAGCCCGGACCTGTGGCTCTGGAAGAAGGTCTTCAGCTTGATCTCCACATCCTGCTCTTCTTCGCCCTGCAGTGCCAGGTAGATAAGCCGTTCCACAGTTTCGATGGAGTCTTGATGCACCAGCTCCTCCACGAGAGACTTACCCATAGCGTCCCGGACAGACACACCTGTCAACTCGGCCACCTTAACATTCCACCCGATAACCAGCCCGCTTGCATCCACGGCGAGGATGGGAGCGGTTGCAGTCTCTATGAGGCGCATCATCTCGGTGGCCATGTTGTTGAGCTCGTTCATTTCACGAAGTTTAAGGTCGTTGAGACGCGCATGGATCATGATCTTAGTGTCCATGTTGTCGATGTCAGAGAAGGAACCACGAAGAATGAGTTGCAAAGAGTGAATGGCATCCATCTCAACATCTTCCCAGGGCAAGCTGCGTGTCTTGACGACCTCAAGGAAAGCCTTGAAGGACGAGCGGGGATGCATGCGGCGACCGTCATCAACGTCCTCAGGATCATGCTTGGCCCCTCCCCACTTCACCTCCTTGGCCGTGTGAGAGCGGAACCAAAACAAAAAGTCCTTCGTGGTGATCTTTGCAGCAGCCATTCCACACACTCCATCCCCCAGCTCCGCCGCTCCTGGGTAGCCCGCATCCGACAAGCTATCAGTGCTCAGCCCTGTGGAATCCTTATGACACTCCAGCAACCAATCCGCGATGTCCTTGATCTGCCTCTCCGAAGGGGTTACCCCCAGCAGCCAGAAGCGCTGCCCATAGTACAAGGCAGCGCCATCACACCTCACCAGGTCCATGATGTTGGGCGACTGTGTGACAATCCCCGTAGGCGCATCACGCAGCAGCATGTCACACAGCAGCGTCTGCGTTCTCAGGATGTGCTTCTCCCTGATCTGTGCTGCCAGCTCTACTTCCATGTTCAGCTGCAGCCCGAACACCTGCATCAAAAACTCGCATGCTGCTCGCAGAGGGAACGGAACCACCCGCGGGGTCGTATGATGGCACACAACCAGCCCCCACAACTTTCTCCCACGTGGCGTTATGCTGGCAGAAACCCCGCCTCCAGTCGCCCCTCCATCATCCTCCGCATCGTTGATGATCACAGCCATCACCAGCGACGCCGCCGAGCCCATGTTCTTCATATACTGCGCATGGCATCCGTGCACCCCTCGAATTGTCGACCCTGCCAAGCTGATGGGTTGCAGCAGGCTCTTGTCCTGCACCACCTTGACCTGCGGCGCAGAGCAATCAGCTATCATACGAACGCGACTCTTCATAAACAGAAATCGCGCAGCTTGGGGTACATCCGTCGCCGGGTAATGAAGCCCGAGGTAGGGTTCCAGATCTGACCGGCGAATCTCCGCAATCACCTCCCCATGCTCGTCTTCGTGGAATTTGTAAGCCATCACCCGATCATATCCAGTTAGCTCCCTGACTTCTTCCACAACGGTGTCGCACAGGAATGCTATGTCGCCACCGGGGATGGCCTGCAGCCGAGAGATTGCCTTGGCAGCAAGTTTGTGCGACTGCAGGGCCCCGGCAGCAGAGAGCGACGGATCCGTCGGTCGCAAAGGTTCGAAATCGATGACCAGGCCTACGTCAATCCGATGCACAATGGCATAGAAGGGTTTGCCGCTCCTTGTAGCAACCGAGATAGGGTTGAGCAGTGTGACATCACCGGCTGCAGTCACCTTCTCCAGAGCAACAACGCTTGCTTGAGTGAAAAGCGCACGTGCATCCATTCCTAATCTCAACAGCCCTGTCTGCTCGCCCATCGTGGGGACGTACTGGGACATGGTGTCCAACATCTCCGGCGCATTCTCGCTGTACGCGATGATCGTGAAAGATCCCTCGTCGACTCCAAGCACACAACCGAACGCTTGCACTACGCCGCCTCGTTGCATACGCTGCAAGTACGCAGTCATTACCTCGGTGGGGACACTGTCGGCCGTCGCTTTGCTTGCGCTGACAGACTTGGAGTAGTCGAAAGAATCCCCTGATTCTTCCGATTCCTTAAAGGATGCATGAAGCTTTGCATCCGCGGATGTCTGCGCAATGCGCGTATTGTGCTTGGTCTTCACAGAGGCAGTGGAGTTGGACATACGGGAGTACGACATTGTTGAAGCCCACAGAAAAAGTAGCTCTCCTCTGCGCCTGTCTTTCGTGCGAGAGCAGTTTCAAAATCTTCTCCTCTGCGCTTCCTTCTGATGATAACGATGAGGATGAGGATGACGAGGAGGATTATGATGAGGATGATGAGGATGATGAGGATGATGAGGATGATGAGGACGACGTCTGTGCTTCTTCACCTTGCACCCACCCTATCTCTCTCTATACCCTCCTCCCCACCGTTCGTCGTCTCAGGGGGGGATGCCGCCGGTGCTTCTGTGCGTAGATCTCTCCTTCCCCGCGCTCGCAGGTAACCACTTGTTCATCTTTTCTCTCTCCTCACCTTCTGCGCTTCAAGAGAGTTGTCTCTCCTCAGCTTCTGCGCCTCAACACACTGCTGCTCACGAGAATTTCATCCCTATTCCGTGTCCATATCCCTCCCTTTCTCCCCATTCTCTCTCCAAAACTTCCCGCTTCGCTCCTCTTCTCTGTCCTTGGTCCGCTACTAGCACGTCAGTAGGTAGTCTTCGGCACCACGGCTTGCTCGGTCGGAGGAGAGCTGCCCGTGCTCCTCTTCCACAAGCGCTTCTGCCAGATCTATCGTCAGCTGATGATACCGCTCTCATCAATCCGATCAATTGGGGCATCGTTGCTTCGTTGCCCTCAGCAGATCTGTCACTCCACAACGACAGGATGCTGCACAAGGAAGGTAGGTGTTTCGTCTATTCTGCTTGTCTCGACTTCGAATCCCACTTTGACAGAGTTTGCTGCAAACAAAAAACAACTGCAGCGTCCACTCTGTTATGCAAAGGGAGGGAAATACTCGTAGTATCACACCAGCACCAGGCTCGCCACGCTGAAGGGGGAGGGACAAGACAACCCGATATCCTCCCGCGAAACTATAGTACGTTTGACACCATCTGCTTCCATAACGCACGTGCGATCCGCCGGTCCCAGCAGTCTTCCTCCCCTCGATGATCACATCTCCGCACAGACTTGGGATCCTCCATGTCGACAATCCTGAGAAGTAACGTCGCTGGAATAAGTGCGCTCGTCTTCGTGGGCACCACCCTAGCGGAACACTGGGACTTCGCTGCCCTCGTCCTTCCCCTCGGGGGGGGAACCTGTCACACACCGCCGGCTTTCTCCTCCCTTCTTCACTCAATCGGGGATGTCGCCCACTTGCCTACTCTCTCGGAGAACATCGACGTCACCCACCTGCCGACCTCCTGAGAGAACATCACCTACTCTCCCCTCAGACACCAAAGGGAAGACGGTCCACGACCCGACATCACTATCTATGTCCCAATTCCCGCCGTCCCGACCGGTCGGTCAGCAGTCGCTCTCCCCCATTACCCGCCACAATCCCCACTGCCGATAACCGTCTCCTCCTCTCTCTCGTTCAATTCAACGTCAAGTGTCGCCGACGCCTCCAAGTGCACCGGCCGACGCCTCCCAGTGCACCGGCCAACCCCTTCACCATCGACCACCAGGTCGAGAAGCTCGCGCAGGAGAGGGAGGGGTGATATCTACATTTCTCGTTTATTACAAAATCACAAAAGAGCTGCCTGCGCCTACGTCCGCCACCACGTGTTTAGAAATACGAAAGAGCTGCCTCCGCCTACGTCCGCCACCGCGCGGCCCCGCTAACTCCTCCACCCTCGACAACCAGGTCGATAAGCTCTCGCAGGAGAGGGGCTATATCTACATTCTCGTTTAGAATTACAAAAGAGCTGCCTCCGCCTACGTCTGCCACCGTGCGGCCCCGCCAAACCCTCCGCCTGCCACCGCCAACCCCTCCAGCTACGTACGGCACCGTACGGCCCCGTCAACCCCTCCGCGTACGTCCGTGCCCGTACGCGCCCCGCCAATCCCTCCGCCTACGTCCGACACCGTGCGCACCCCGCGCCCACCTCCGCCTGTGCGCGCTGAGCGCTCCGCCTGGGCCCGCCAACTCCTCCGCAGCGCGCGCCCGCCAAACCGTTGGCGTACGCCCACAACCCCTTCACGTGCGCCAGCCAACCCCTTCGCGTTCAACCACGTGGGTTTACCCTTCTCCACGTGCGCCCGCGTGCGCCCGGGTGCCTGATTCCGTCGGCCAGGCCTTTCTGCTCACGTACCCCCTCGACGCTCTCCGCCTCCGATTTAATTGACGCCATCACCGACTCACGGCAAAGAGGATAAAAATTGGCCCACCTGGCTGCAGCGAAGGAGGGCGAGCGGAAGCGGACTCTTTCGTCCGGCCTGGCGTGGAGAAATCCAGTTCTCTAAAAGGCGAAGTCCTAAGCGTTGCTAACAGAGATCTTACTCATAGATTCGATGCTCGAATCCTATTCGCAGCAAACATAAAAACAAGCAGGGATTCAAATCCCACTTTTTTCAAGCAGCGATGCATAGGTCCTCGCTCCACCGCTCTCGAAATGTCCAAAACGAGAGCGAATCTTCCGATAGAACATAGAAAGATACACCACCATGATTTTTGTCTTTTGTGCATGTGTCGAGAGTACTGGAGCGAGGCCCGTTCCTGACACTAGCTCCATCTGGAATGTATCGACCGCATTTACGGCCAGGCCTGTACGTATCTGACCGCAGTTACTTTCTTCCTGTCAGTATTGTATGGGCCTCTCTCTCCACTACTCTCCACATGCACAGCAGACCCAAAAAATGGCTGTATACGGGGGCTAGGTCCCACTTACACGAAGTATGCGATGTTGACCGTAGATAGCATTGATCAACGGCCAGCATCTCTTAATCCGTGCAGGTGGGACCTAGGCCCGGGCCTCGCCACACCACTGTCGAAAACAGGGCCTCGCCACACCACGCTCGAAATGTGAAGAAGACAAAAATGTGGCGAGTGCATCTGGCCATGCTCTAGCGGGAAGTTCATTTCGAGAGTGGTGTGGCGATGCCCACAGGCTGTCGAAATTGGAGACGGGAAGAAAATTCGCAAGCTGTCAGAGAACGCTTCTCGACACGTCCTGTGGAAAGTTGTCGAATAAAAAAAAAAGAAAAAAAGGAAAAAAAAAAAAAAAGAAAGTTGTCGAATCCCCAGCCTCCGGCTACTCCGATTCTTCCGACAGTCTCTCGGCTGCGCCATCGACTTGGTGAGTGGACGTGAGGTCGGGATGGACTACCGTCTTCACCCAGCCTGGTCATTATCACAGTATGTAGACCGAAAGTGCCACCAAATACAGCTGTGATGACTGGGCGTTCTATTCGGGTGACGGCGGTAATGCTGTCTTACCCTCAGGCGCGTTGGTCTTTTTTCCATCTTGCATTCAGAAGTGCGTCCATTCTACAGTGCTGTGTTGCTAAAAGGGGGCAAACTGTCAAAGAGAAGCTGTAGAATTTATTCTGACGAATTTTTTTTGCCCTAGCTTGCTTCGGCGGCGCTCTTGGCGCTAAGCAAGATTAGGGCAGGGATTAGCACCCACAGGCTAGGCGATGGAAGAAGAGTTTTGGCGAAGAGATGCTGACTTCTCAATGTCTTCCTCGGTATTTCCAGGGGAGAAATGACTCAAGCCGTACAATTAGGGGTATGAGGTTTAGGAACAGGTGGAGGTCTCGGGAGAGAGGTCTTCCGGAGTACCTCGGAAGGGCAGGGCGTGAAAGGGAAGTTTCGATAACCCCCCCCTGGGGTACATCAGCGGCCATGTCCTTCTCTTCATGCTTATTTTGGGCACCTGCTTCAGAAGGCGAGGCCAAGTAAGAAGACCGTATGGTGGAGGAGCGTGGATGGGAGGAGCTCCTTCAGCCCGATGGGAGGAGCTCCTTCAGCCCGATGCGAGAAGAAGGAACGCTGTGACGAACCACTTTCTGTAACGCGCGATTTTCTGCGCGGTTGCAACGAGGGGTCCTAAGCTGGGAAGATTGGGCCAATTACGGGAGATCGGGATCGGTGGAAAATTGCATCAGTGTCCTTGCTTTTTCGTCTTTTTCGTTGCTTCTTCTCGGGTGGTCGGGCTCGGAGCTGGGTGTGTCCTGGGACGATCGGTTGATCGATTGGTTGGATGGATGTCCAGCGTGCTGCCGAGCGCGCGATTAATAAATGTTGACGTCGTTTCTTTCATTTCGGGTTCGATCTTTTTGGCGCGGACAACGCGCGGGAAATTGCTGTGTTCCTTTTTTTAATTTCCTTTTGAATCTTTTTCGAACTTTGTCGATCCCTGATGGCTCTCGGAATTTCGACTTCTCTCCCTGGAACCTGTACTTTTGTTTTTCGCATTAGTTAGGAATTTTGTGATTAGGACTTTCTTTTGCCGCGCGGCGCCCTTATTTGTTTGCGCTCTTCTTTTTGCAGCTGCAACGAAATTCTGATTAGTCGGCGCCTTTAATCGGTTGTGTAACTGTAATCTTGGGCGGGCGCCATTGTAACTGTATTTTTCTTCTTGCACTTCGTCTCTCCCGCCCTCCTTCTTCTGTTGCTGCGTTTTTGGAACTACGTACTACATGCCCAGATCGATGCGTGGAGAGTGGCTACGTCCCCCACTCCGCGGCCCGGTCATGCAGAACGTGGGCACTCCCTCTCTAATCTCCCCTCTAAGTCTTGGTCATTCCGTGTTCTTCGCGCATGCATGCACGCTATAAAT